GCACGATCAGCATTGTGTGCAATTTTTTGTTCCAGGGATGTGCTGGCTGTTCTAGTCCATACAGCCCGTTCTTGCAGTTTGCAGACTAAATTTGGTAGTTTGGGGTTTATAAAACCTTCTGGCTGCTCCATCTTCCTGGATCTCCCCAGGAAGAAATGATGTCTTTTACATCTAGATATTTGACCTGGGACTTCCAATTTATGGCGACACACAGGCAGACACATCTCCCGGATGTCCCGGAGATGTAATCTGCACACCAGTGTATAGGAGGGGGTGCGACGGGTTGCAACCCCCCCGGAGCCTTGGGGAAAAGGTTCCTAGCCATGGGGCTTTTGAGGGGCGACCTCTTCGCCGGCGCGATGCCGGGGAATTGAGGCACTCCTCCACCCCGAAAGTCCTGCTGCTGAGTGTCCGCATGGATTCAGAGCTGCTGACCGGGACAAGCGTCGGAGATCGGGTGAGAAAAATGGATGCCGAGCATGGCCGGATGGCTGGCAACGAACTGTGAGTCGGGTTGAAGCGAGATGAGGATTTAAAAAGAAAGCTGCCCCCCTTAAGGAGCGACGCAAAGCAAGCAGGGGAGGGGCCCCCCCAAACGCATAAACGAAAACACGAAACTAAAGAGGGGGGAGCGGAAGAATAAGTGTCTAAATCTGTTTTAAGAGACTTACCATAGCGCAGATAAGCGCAAGGGCGAATTTCAGAGACTTTAGCAACTTTAAGAAAAATAAATAATCCAAAAAGATAGCGGGGAAGAAACCAGATAAGGAAAACTGTTGAAAGTGAAACTAGTGGGCAGTCCTCAAACGGAAGAGACCACTGAACTTTCCAAAATGCTGGCAGACTCCTTGCGCCTTCTGCTGGACGAGATGACTAATATCAAGCAACAATTGTCAACAATAGGTCAAAGTTTGGCTTCACAGCAGCTACAACTGACTAAATATTTAAAGGCAACGGAGCAAATGGCCGAGAAGGTGAAGGAAATGGACGCCAATACTAAAAAAGTTAAGAAAAAGGTGCAAAAGCTGGAATTGAAACAAGCTACGGAAGAGTCACAACTTTTACAACTGCAAATGGAGAAAGCAAATTTGGTCCTCCAATAATACAATCCAAAAGAAATTATAAAATAGATAGTCGTGGCTATGTCAGGCCTAACTCAAGTTGTCACAAGCTAGATTTGACCATACAAAAGATGCCTGAATCATAAAATAAATTGGCATTCTAAACTTTTAAACTTAAGTTTTTAGACTTATAAATTAAGAATCATTAATATGATCAGGGTCACTCCTCCGTTTTATAAAACCATGGAGAAACTTAGCGGTCAGTTCAATGATCTCGTGAAGCAAGGAGAAATTGTACCTTGATTCTATCCGATTGGCCTGCTACCAACCTAAGGGGGGGCTTCTATAAATTCCACTCGAATGTCATTTAACAATTTACAGTGTAAGAGTACGTGCTGAAGGACTCTGAATTGTGCCTGAAAATTCTGTAATAATTTTGGGATGCTTTGAGAGTTTCATGAAACAGATAAATGGATGGTTAAAAGATAAATAACCTAGCATAACTGACTATGTTCAATGTATTACTAGCATTTTAGACTAACATTGAGATAAGCTGATGTATTGATCTCCCAATCTTGGGGTTTTAGTTATTAGTGGGTTTCTTTCCTTTCTCCTTAGATGTAGTTTCCCTTCCTATATTTTCAGTTATAGTTTGTAGTCTTGTGAAAATAACAATAAAAAACTCCTCTTAGGGGGATTAAAAAAATAAAAAATAAAATAGATATTTGACCTGCATCTTCTTGGACACTACTGTGCTCGAAACTAATCTGATTGTATTATGTTTCACAACCGGTGCAAAAGATTAATCAAGGTCCTGAACATATTTTTGTGAGATGCCTTTAGCTACTAATCTTGCTTCGCAGCATTCCACATTTCCGCCTGCATTTTGCTTGACCTTAAACACCCACTTACGTCCAAAAAGATTCTTTCCTGGTGGTAGCTTCGTCAAGGTCCACTTTTTGTGTGTGTGTGTGTGTGTGTAGAGCATCAATCTCCTCTTGTGCTGCCTTCTTCCACCTACTGGCTTTGGCTGCTGGCACCTGTTCTACTTCCTTCCAGGTAGGAGGTTCAGATGGTAACACCAGCCTTGCGAGGTAGGACAAGCGCAAGGCTGGTATGCGTTGTTGCGTGGTGCACAGCTTGCATCACCAGGTCAGCTCTCAGTCAAAGATCACAATTGCACCCTGCTGAGATTCCACTGCAGTGAACCACACTGACACAGTTCTTTGTGGTAAACTATATACAGTGAATTTATTTACATATACACAGCTCTCATGGACAAAGTGCTTCGCCATACACTCTCACAGAAGAAGAAGCTACATTGTACAGACTATACACACATATATACATAGACCAGCCAATCAGCTTACTGCTGAGTCACCCTGATACAGCTCAGCTTTACACCAGCCAGAACTGCTTTGGTCTGGTTACCTGGACTGTCATTTTCTCAGACACCTGTCATTTAGCTTGGCATGATCATACACATCACACATGCAGAATACTTATGACATTACAACTTGCAATGAGCATCAGAGATGTGGTCCTGGATTCTCATCTGCGGTCACAGTGCTCTCCAGCCCACCGGTCTTCTCATTCTCACTTGCTTCCTCTTCCTGCGTTGTACTGCTCTGAATGTCTGGCACAATTGCTTTGGAATCTGCCTTCTCAGGGTGTGTGTCTTGTTCCGGTGCTTTATCATTTTGCACTGGCTCAAGGTCCAAGAGCTGGTACTGATCATCTGCATTTTCAGAGTCACATGATGCAGCCCCTGCTCTACTGGCTCTGCTTTCGTCTCGAGAATCACGTGCCTGAGAGAGACTTCACCTGTTTCTGGGTACAACACTCTACACCCCTTACTTCTAGAATAATATCCTACAAAAACACTTTCTCTGGGTTCTAGTTTTGTCTTTTCCCCTTGGGTTCAAATGCGAAGGCCTTGCTGCCAAGTACTCTAATGTGTCCCATGTCTGGCACCTTGGCATGCCATAGTTGGTAAGGTGTACGTGTGCTCCCTCTTGTGGGCAGTCAGTTCCAGAGACAGTTTGCTGTCTGGGCTGCTTTGCCCCACCATTGGGTAGGCCTGCATCCATGAGCGTGCATTTGCACATCTCGAAAAAAGATCTCCCTTTCCTTTCAGTAGTGCTGTTCTGCTCAGGTGTAAAGCTCACTGATTTCCTGCGCAGGATGCCTTCTTTTGCCAAGAAGGTTTGTGTGTGATGTGGTATAAACTCACCAGCGTTTATCTGTCTGTAGCGTTTGAAGCTTTCTTCCAAACTTGTTCGAAACCATAGCGACGTGTCTCTTGAGGAATTTGTGAGCGTCACTCTTTGGCCTCTGCAGAAATGCAACTGAGTACCTTGAGAAATAGTCCAGAAAGATTAAAAGATATCTATTTCCAACATTTGATGTTACTGTACTGGTCCAAGGACATCACTATGAATTAATTCTAATGGCTTGCTAGTACATTTCTCGGTTCCGTGTTTCCCAGTTAATGCTGTTCAAACAAATTACAAAGATGATCTGACTCCAATGGTAACAAGAGAAAGAATTTTTACTTACTAAAATAGAAGCCAATCTTATGTGACATATTCATGTAGGTGCATTTGACTTATTATGGAAAGATTAACTTCAAAAAAGGTTAACTTGCTACAGCCCAGGTAAGAGAGAGAAGAGAGTTCCTATATAAGATGAGTCAGAAGGCAAGCAATGGCCAAAGAGAAGAAGAAGATAAGAGATTGGAATTATTCCCCGCCCTTCACTACCCGAAGGAGTCTCAGAGTGGCTTACAATCTCCTTTCCCTTCCCCACCCCACAACAGGCACCCTGTGAGGTAGGTGGGGCTGAGAGAGCTCTTTCCAGAATTTTCCTTGAGAGAACAGCTCTGAAACAACTTGTAACTGACCCAAGGTCACACCAGCAGCTGCATGTGAAGGAGTGGGGAATCAATCCCGGTTCTCCCAAATTAGAGTCCACACTCCTAACCACTACACCAAACTGACTCTCAACAATAAACCGGTGAGAGGGTGGGGCCAACTGCCACATGTACCTGAGAGAGAGAATTCTCTTAATTCTTTCCTTTCCAGATCCTCTTACATGCAGTGTTACAACAGCTTCTTCTTCCTGTTATCCTGAGAAGCCGTGCACTGAAGAGGATAATGACTGGCTTGAAAATATGGAGGGGGGGAAAGTTGCTACAAAACTTCACATCCCTCCCTCCCTATAGAAGATCAGTCGGCCATAATCTCAAGATTGGGAGGGGTTTACAAAAGCTTAATTGGAGTTACCAAGCAGGCATTCGAGGATAAGATGATAATGGGTGACGATAAGAATGGGGAGATTAAACAGAGAAATGATGTTAATGAAGTGGGAGATCTCAGGCGTAAAGGTTTGTATTTAAATCAAAAACTAGGGAGGACAGAGGAAGTATTTGGAATCGGAACTAACATTACCCTGGGGAAGGGCCCTGATCATAGAATCCCCGACTCTAGCTTAGGAAATCTTGAGGGTACCAACCAAAGACAGTGGAATCACAATTACAATGGATGTGTTTTCCAAGATCCTTTAAGGGTTCCGGATGCAATAGAGGCAGATTGACTGCCAGTGGGCCAACGGGAGAAAAGACACACACACCCCAAACACGATTACTGTAATATCATGGAATGTCATGGGCTGGGCCGCTAGATCCAAGGAACCATACGCTAAGAATTTTATGAGGAAATTTGATGTCATAATGTTACAAGAGGCATGGTGCTTGGATAACTTGGCCCTAGAGGGATACAGCTCTTGTGTACGTACTTTATTTTAATGCTGTTTTAATGTTTTTTTATATTTACCACCATTCCACCTATTTGGGTGGAAAGGTGGCATTGAAATGTTTTGAATAAAATAGTCCGGGAGGGGGAAATCAATTTTATGATTTTTTTCCTTTTACTTCTTCAGGAACTCTCCCCAGAACAAATAGCAAACCTGGGTCCGGAAAACGCAGCCATGGTTACAGAGTCCCAGCGCCAGTGGCTCAGTGATCCGCAGCTCCAGAGCCTGCATCTGGCCCTAGACGGAGCCCGAGTGAGCATCTACGAGGCTCCCCTTGGGGAAAGCACGGCCAGACCCACCTACACACCAGTTCTGAGCGGTGAGTACATCTTGCTCCAGGATCAGGTTGCTACGTTACATCCACCTTTTGGTGAGACTGGCTTCAGAAGGACATATCAGCCTGCTTTTCTCAGCACAGCTGTCTCCTCAAAGACCCCTGGGATATAACCGAGCTCCGTGCAGGAAAGTTGTTTTGCTCTGCAGCCATCAAACAGAGACACAGAGAGCTCCTCGACATTGCATGACGGTCATAATGTTTTCCTTATTTGAGTTCGCCTCATTATGCGGAACCCATATGGTGAGAACACTCTTAATTAATACAGCAACGGCAGTGGCTTACAACTAGAAAACAAATGGCGGTATGAACAGTTCATGGTGTAGAGGCAGAAGATAATTCCTCTACCACGTTTCGTTGTTTCTTGAGGGATAAACCAGACCAGAGATGCTGGAAAATTTGTAATCAGATCTTCCCAGTTTTTTAAAAAAAGAATATCAGTTATATTTTTATTCTGTCTCTTCCTCCAGGGAAGAGTTTGTAGTTTCCTCCTCGGAGCAGAGTTTGTAGTTCTTTTCCTCCAACCACCCTGTGAGGTAGGTTAGGCTGAGAATATGTGACTGACCCAAGGTCACCCAGGGTAATTTGATGCTGCATGCAGATTTGAACTTGGGTATCCCTGATCCTGGTACTCTTAATCACTAACCTCACACTGGGGTAGCCACAAGGAGATTGTGGTTTCTAATCAGACCACAGAACAGGGGAGAAGGGGTTTCACATGCACACACACGCATACCTATGCACGGTTTCATTTGTTGAAACAGACCTTCCTCTGGGGTTTTATTCACCTCCAGAAAAGTAAAAAGTTAAGCAAAGAGGAAATGCTACTTTTCTGTCCCAGGGCTAATTGCACCCTGAGGGAGAGACCACTTGGGAGGGAAAGGCTAAGCGTCTGCCCTCCAGTGCCATAGTCAAAATCTGTAGTGGGGGGGGGAGAGAGACACAGAACAGAGCAGCAACTTCTTTTGAAGGAGGAGGAGGAGATTGGATTTATACCCCGCCTTTCACTACCCAAAGGAATCTCAAAGCGGCTTACCATCTTCTTTCCCTTCTCCCCCCCACGACAGACATCCTGTGAGGTAAGTGGGACTGAGAGAGCTCTCTCGAGGACTGCTTGTGAGAGAACAGCTCTGAAAGAACTTGTAACTGACCCAAGGTCACACCAGCAGCTGCATGTGGAGGAGAGGGGAATCAAATCCGGTTCTCCCAGATTAGAGTCCGTGCTCTTAACCACTGCACCAAACTGGCTCTCATCTAAAAGATGCTGGGAAGATCTAGTCGCAGTTCTCCCAGAATTCCTTCTGCTTTGCCCCTTTGGTGCTGAGCATGCTGATTTTTTAAAAAACTAGTAAAACCAGCGTAAAGCTGCTCTTTCACTTGGGGCATTTTTGCTTGCTTGGGGGGGCAAGGGGGGCCACAGTGATCAAGGATCGGTGGTGCGGTCCTTGGGCCCCAAATTACTCGTCTTGAGATTTTTATCTTTTTCGGACAGAGGGAGCGTTGACTCTCAAAAGCTCATACCCGAAAATGTTATTAGTCTCTAAGGTGTTACTGGACTCAAATCTCGCTGATCTACTGCAGACCAACACAGCTCCCTTCCTAAACTTCTCTTTGTGGGGGGCAACATTCTTGTTGTTGGAAAGTCACAGGGGTCATTTCCTTCTGGAGCGCCCCAGAGTGGTGCTCTGGCAGTAAGGAGGCCATGCCCTGCCCCCTGCCCATGGAGAGACTCAGGGAGGGGGGGATTTATCGAGCAGGAAACCCTGGCATGTCTGCTTCCCTGCCCTTCCCATCTCCAGCCAGCCCGCTGCGGCCGGTTGGCTGGAGACGGGAAGGGCAGGGGGGCAGACATGCCTGCCTTTCCCCCTGAGCCTCTCCGCTTTTGCGGGGAGACTCAGGGAAGGAGGAGATTTAAGCTCATTTGCATATGCCTTAACTCATTCTAAACATGCCTGCCCTTTGTCAGGGGGTGTGGCATATGCAAATGAGTTATACAAATGAGCTCCTGCACCTCTTTTTCTAGGAAATGACCCCTGGAGAGTCATATCACTACAGAGAACTGTTGCCCAAGCTGGTACAAATGGAGTCAAAATCAGACTTCCACATACTCTTCTGTCCCAGTCACCCTGCAGGGGAATTATCTCGAGAGGCTGCAGGTGCCACTGCTGGCAGTTCTCCCTTTGGGTTTCTCTCCCTCGAAAACAGCTGTCAGCTGACGGTTGAACTTCGTTATCCTCGATTCAGGAGCGCACCAAAGGAGCTCTCATTTCCCAGCTGAGCTGGTGCTCTTAATGGCATGTCAGCTGCGTCTTCTCTACAAAGCTCAGCGATTTTCTGCTCTTTTGATCACACAGTCCAGTTGCTTTGCCCTCTCCGCCTTTCGGGTGGGAGGCAGATGCGGCACAGATTTCCACAGAGCAGCCTTTTCACATTGCCAGCAGAGCAAGAGGGGACAAGCAAGGAGTACTGGGGAAATACTGGCAGGTAGATCCCGGGTCAGAGTGGTGGCACCATTAAGACTGGGGTGGGTGGGAAACCTGGATTCAAGTTCCCGCTCTGCCACAAAGCTTAGATCCATAGAATCACAGAGCTGGAAGGGACCTCTGGGGTCATCTAGTCCAACCCCCTGCACGATGCAGGAAATTCACAAGTACTTCTCCTCACATGTTCCCTCTAAGCTGTGGAGTCTTGTGAGCAAAAGTTCTACTTTGTGAGCTGCTGGCATTAAAGTTGTGAGCAAGCTATTTGGCTACTGCATAAATCAGTTTGCTCTGGAGCCATCTTTCCTGAGCTAAGAGAAAAATGTGTGAGCCGGAGGCTAAAAAACTGTGAGCTAGCTCACTCTAACTCAGCTTAGAGGGAACACTGCCACACACCCCCAGTGACCCCTAGGTCCATGCCCAGAAGATGAAGTATATAACTTGGGGGCCATCACTCAACTTTCAGGGTTATGTTCTGTGGCATCTGGGCTTTATAGTATTTTTACAGTGAGATTTCAGGGCTGGGGGAGGGACACAAAGCATGTAAATGCTGCAGCTGCTACCACATAGAAGGAGGAGGAGGAGGAGGAGGAGGAGGAGATTGGATTTATACCCCGCCCTTCACTACCCAAAGGAGTCTCAGAGCGGCTTACAGTCTCCTTTCCCTTCCCTTCCCCACAACAGACACCCTGTGAGGTACAGGAAAATAGAACTGGAAAGGACCTCAAGAGTCATCTAGTCCAACCTCCTGCACAATTCAGGAAATTCACAACTACCTCCCATTCCCCCCAGTCCCGCAGCGATCCCTGTTCTGCATGCAGAGGAAGGCAAAATAAATCTCCAGGACTCCTGGGCCAATCTGGCCTGTTTTGGAACCCAGTCTGGCAAAAGCTGCTTTCATCCTTATGACCATTTGATCTGAGGTGTGTGTGTGTAATGTGCACAATATTATATATGTAGTGGGTGTGGCTGAAATATCAGCATACCATAACAATTCCTTGATCCTCCATGCCTGTTCACTCTTGCTCTTAGTTCACTCTAGCATTTCTTAGTCAGCAATGAAATGTGGGTGCATACCAAAATACTGACCAAAAGACAACACACACACCCCATCCTGGAGACATTGTGCATTTTTCTCCAGTACAGGGTGAGCCTAGCCTCCTCCTATGTCCACAATCAGTAAATAGAATGCTGATTCACACCACTTTCCCCATGCCTTGGGTGGCTTGTCTGCTTTAAAAAAAAAAAATTAAGTTCTGCATGTGTGTTTATTAAATTAAACATACATTCCTCTGCTTATTTGTACCAAGAAAATGAAATCATGCTCATTTTAAGAATAGCTTGGGAAAATTGCTCCAGGCTTGATGGAGTGAGGCTTCCGTGACGTTGCTGGTACTAGTCAATCAGAGCTGTGCCTAGCCTCGCTAAAGCTGCAGAACTTATTCTCCTGAACCTGACTGGGGAGTGAAGGTGGTAAGCAATGCTCCCTCTAAGCTGTGGAGTCTTGTAAGCAAAAATTCTACTTTGTGAGTGACCAACACTAAAGTGGTGAGCGAGCGATTTGGCTACTGCATAAATCGGTTTGCTCTGGAGCCATCTTTCCCAAGACAAAAATGTGTGAGCTGGAGGCTAAAAAACTGGGAGCTAGCTCGCACTAACTCAGTTTAGAGGAAACACTGGTGGTAAGTCTGAATGAAAAGCAGTGAGATAAAAGGCATGTTTTGTAAAAGGCACCAAGTGGAAGCTGAAGGGTTAAACTCCTGTCTCTTGCCTGCATGTGGCAGCAATTCACATTTGATGGACAGATCTGAGCGGCAGGATCTTTCATGTTGTCTGTCTGAGCCTTCAGGTGGCTTCATTCACTCAGAGATAATGTGCAGAAACTGAAGGTGCTAATTCAAGGCGCTTTGTGCTTTTCAGGTTCACCCTTCTCCCACAGCTTCAGTTTCTTGGTGTGCACCCTCTTCACCCTCTGTGCTGCTTCCTGAATCTGCTGGCCGCTGTTGCAATTTACAGTAAGCCTGGCTTTTTTCCACTTAAAAAATTCTGTGTGTTAACAGTGCTGGATAATTCACTTGTAAATGGTGTTATATGGAGAGGGAAATGCCTTGTTAGGAGACTGGAGCCCCACAGTCTGCGCTGATGGAAGAGCAGCTGCAAGCCACTGCTGTGACAGAAATCATGGCAGTGATGTCACTGCTGTGATGAGATTATGACAATGTCGATGGTACAACAGAAATTGTTAACGGTGGGAAGACTCTGGAATTTGTGTTCGATCCTTTAGCCGAATCCAGACTCACTGTCAAGAATCCTGGCAGTAGTCTCGTAAGCTAAGCTGGGCCGACCTTGGCAAGTACTTGGAAGGGAGAGCTCCAAGGAATACCAGGGCTGGGACACAGAGGCGGGCAATGGAAAGCCACCTCTCTGAAATGTCCAAGCCCCACTGGGGGTTGCCAGAAGTCAACCATGGCTTCCAGGGGCGTGCACGCACACACGCACACACACTCACCAAAAAAGACATTTAAAAAAAAGAATCCTGAAAGTAGTCAGCATAATGGTGGTTGGCTTGTGAACAGACTATGGTTGCCGACCTCCCGGTGGGGCCTGAATATCTCCTGGAGTTGCAGCTAATCTCCCGACTGCAGAGATCAGTCGCCCTGGAGAAAAGGGCCGCTTTGTTGGGGGTGGCATCATACCCTCCTAAGGTCTCTCCCTCCTCCAAACCCTGCCCTGCCCAGGCTGCACCCCCAAACCTCCAGGAATTTCTCACCCCAAGTTGGCAGTCCTAGAACAGACACAGGTAGAAGTCCTTTTGATCAAAGCTCAAGTGACCTTGAGAGGGCGGAGAGGGCCTGAGCTCCCCCTGCCTTTCACATCTGCCTCCTTAGCTGCTCTTCTTAGAAAGTTGTGGGGGGGGGGGAAACTGATGGCGGCTGACAAATGTCATGAAGGGCAATATGTTATTCCCCATAACTCAATCACTGGTTTCAGTGTTGTTGTTTTAATAATGAGCCTGGCTAGCACATGCATTTCTGTGAAGGGGGAAATGCCCAGAAGTAGCCTTAGGGCTGCCGTCCTCCAGGGATCATGAGCCCCTGGAGATTTCCCGCTATTACAATTGATCTCCAGATGATCCAGATCAGTTCCCCTGGAGAAAATGGTTGCTCTGGAGGGCGGACTCTATTATACCCTGCTGAGGCCCCTCCCCTCCCCAAACCCCACCCTCCCCAGGCTCTACCCCCAAAATCTCCAGGTATTTCCCAACCCAGAGCTGGGAACCCTAAGTAGTTTTCATTTTTCAAATGGCATGCATCACTCTCCTGTGTATCCTATCCAGTACATAACAGTCTTACAGGGTATTATACCCTTCTATATCCACTGAAGTCAATGAGCTTAGAAAGGCCGAACTCTGTTCGGGAATGCACTGTTATTAGTTTCCTTTCCAAGCATCTACCCAGGTGAAATAAAGCCCTGTTCTATTGCCATTTCATCTGCCTTCAGACTCTCTTCTAACAACTGTGTTGGAGAAATAATCTTGGGGATGTTACATATCTCGGGATTAGGGCTGCCAAGCTGCGGCGGGGGATCTGTGCGTTGTCACAGGATCCCTGCCGCGGGGGGACAGCGATACGCGCTGCACCGGCGTCGCCAGGATGTGACGCTACGCGTCGCTCTGGCAACGGGGCTGTTTGGAGTCCCGTTGCCAGAGCGACACGTAGCGTCACAGTCTGGCGACACCGGTGCAGCGCATATCGCTGTCCCCCCCGCAGCAGGGATCCTGTGACGACACACGGATCCCCCGCCGCAGCTTGGCAGCCCTACTTGGGATATACTTACATTGTGAATTCTGTACTACTATGTACTGTCTGTTGCTGTGTGTGCCCACTGTGTAATTTCTGTATCATTAATTGTGTCCCATTTAAATGCTCAGCCTTTGTTCCAGCTACGTTTCAGATTTCTCCTTGGTTTCAAGATTTCCGCAGTCCTTCCCAAACCGTATTGCTTTGCTGATTGGATGTCCCATCCTGTTGGTCGTATTTGACTTACACTGTGCAATCCACCTTGAGCCTCAGTGAAAAAGGCGGACTATAAATAACATAAATAGATAAATTAAAAAATCAGTTTGATGTCAGCAGCCAGCTGACCCTCGCTACTGAGTGATGAGAATTCTGTCAAGGATCTCTAATGCCCCACGCAGAACTCCAGTTCCTGGAAAGAGGCATGGTTGTTAAATCAGTATATGTTCTGACGTGTAGGTAACAGCCTCAGAGTTTCCAGCTTATCAAGGCAGCTGCCCTAATTTCCACATTGGCCCATTACTCACACACATCTTACTGCAGATTTTTAGAGCAGTAAGCCTTTAAGCTTGACTTCGGATTCTGTGCCTGCCTAACGTACCATTCTTTTCCCTCCGGTGTATTTATTCTGTAGCTACAATTTTTAAAAATGCACTTTTCTAAATCAGAGTGGAAGGTCACTTGCGATGTGGGGGTGGTGGTGTCCAAGGTTTTTTTTTTTTTTAATTTATACTATTTTAACCCTATTGCAACTGCTCAGTAGCATCCAGCAAGCACCTTCCGTTTAAATCATCCTGGTTCAGGTTTTGCAGATGTATTTTAAGGTTAGTTGGTTAAATGGAAGGGAACAGAAAGGAAGCCAGGCAAAGGGGGAAACCCATTGTTGAAACTGACCAGACTTTTTCTGAAACTGACAAGCAGCTGTGAAGCCCCATTTTCCATGTTGCTGAGTGCTAGGGGATTCTCTGCTGTGTTATTGGCCACTGTGAAAAATAGGAAAGCGTCACACACAATATCAGAATATGGAGGAACATGTTAAGTATACAGAATGCATGGTAGAACCCACTGACATTGTCATTGCAAGCTGTGATCATTGGAAATGTGTGTGCACGCCTGTGCAAAGCTGCTCTTCCTTGCAAATTTGTGTGCTTTTCTCTTTGTGATTCTCTAATTTGATCCTGCACACTGGTTGTGATCTTGGCAATTTTTTAAAGCCTGTCCTTCAAATAAATCGATCCCAAACAATTCTTTTTTTTAAATTTAAAATTTTATTGTGTTTAACAGAAGTATACATAACTCTAAAAAGTTAACACTTAACAATTAACTGGGGTAACCATTATTAAACAGTTGTGAGATATCTTAGACTATGAATCCAACAGTTATAATTTCAACTGTAAATATTACAAAGGTATTATTAGTGTAGTGCTAGCAATGAGTAGTAATGAATGGGTGAAACATTGGTATTATAATTATGACCATTATCCCAAGCAATTCTTACGTTCCGTGGTTTGCAGAAGGTTCATGTGGCTCAGCTGCCATTTTAATGTTAGGTTTCCAAAGACTGCCAAAATGGTTCCCCACCCCAAATATATTAGAATATTATGCATCCAGAGAAACAGATGGCTTTAATATTCTTGGATGCTGAAAAAGCATTTGACAATGTCAACTGGCTATTTATTATCCAACAGATGAAAATAATGAAATTTGGGACTAACTTTATAATGGCTATTCAAGCTATATATACAAAGCAGAAAGCGAAAATAGTAGTAAATAATGACTTGACAGATAATATATGGATTGAACAAGGGACAAGACAAGGCTGTCCAATATCTCCACTGTTGTTTATATTAACATTGGAAGTGCTGACAAGAACTATTAGGGAAGACTCTCATATTAAAGGGACGTCAATAAGAAGAAATAAATATAAATTACAAGCCTTTGCTGATGATTTGATATTAATCTTAGAAGATCCAATGGACAGTACAACAACTAATGAATCTGATTAACTAATATGGGAAAATGGCAGGAATGAAAATAAATTATCAGAAGATGAAAATGATCAAGAAAAACATGACATCAAAACAGAGATGTGAAATAGCAGAACTAACTGGATTTCAACTGGAAAAGAAAGTCAAATAATTGGGTATTAATATTACAGCAAAATATAGCTCTCTAATGAAAGATAACTATAATACAGTGTTACAAGACATTAAAAAAGATTTAGAGAAATGGACAAAGCTCCAAGTATCACTAATGGGTAGAATAGCAATTTTGAAAATGAATATTCTACCACATTTGATGTTTTTATTCCAGACCCTTCCGATATATATTAAACAAAACTTTTTTGACAAATTGAATAAACTGGCACAACATTTGATATGGCAAGGGGAAAAAAACAAGAGTTAAATTGAAAGCCTTGCAGGCTACAAAAGATAATGCTGGATTTGGAGTACCAGATTGGAAGAATTACTATAGGGCAACAAGTTTGATTTGGCTAAGAGAATGGATTTTACTTGAAGATCATCATAGGCTGCTGACTCTAGAAGGACATGACTTAAAACTCGAATGGCATGGATTCCTATGGTATGGGAAAGCTTCTGGACGTAAATATTTTTAAAACCATTTAAGAAGATCATTATTGACAACCTGGGAAAATATACGTCTGATGATATATACTAAAAATTCCAAGATGAGTATATCCAGTGGAAGCTTTTTCTCAACCAGTATTGATTTCAAAACAAGCAGTTATCAGATACGCACAATTGCTAGATGATGGAAATAATTTAAAGTCTCAGGAAGAATTAAAGAAAATGGAAATAAATTTATATTGGTGGACTAGAGTACAAGTGGAATCTAGATATAGTAAGGATAAACAGATGGATTTTATTTAGAACAAGGTGCATTTGAAAAATTATTATGTACTTCAAAAGAGAAACGTATTAAGAAAATATATGGTATACTGATGCAATTGAAAATGCAGGATGAAATTGTTAAAGAAATAGGTTATAACATAGACTTGTCACAATGGAGTGAAATATGGAATGTGAATATCAAGTTGACTAAATCTGTTTCATTGTCAGCTATGCCGCCATGGGGGTTGGGGAGGTCAGTTGTATTCTAATTGCCATTGCATTCCTTCTGTGCTTCTTCGCTGCTGTAACGCTTATCTCTAAGTTCTGCAGGTGGTGGGATGTTGATG